GGCTGCACTTGGGACATTTTACAAAATAGACTACAGGGCTTGCAGGTTGGCTTAGTTGTTTAAGCACCTGTGCAGGCAAACACAGTCAGGTGTTGTGGACCTCGGTTCGATTCCTAGCTCAAGATATCTTACACAACTTGTGATTGAGAAAGCCTGAACCAGCCAAAAAAAAAATCCTTCTCAACTTTGGGCTGGGGAGATAGCTCAGAAGAATAAGCACTTGCCTGGCAAGTACAAGGTTCTGAGTTCAATCCCCCATTCTGCAAAAAACAAACTAACTAAAATAGACCACATACTAGTCCATAGGTCATGCTTAAGTATATTCAAGAAAAGAGAAATTATCCCATGCATTCATTAGCTCTTATGCTTTGATTAATTAAAAAATGTGTATGACACTTACTATGTTCATGTTCATCCATTCTAGCCACAACAATTATTCTTATAAATAAACACAGTACCTAAGCTGAACATATATATATATATATATATATATATATATGTAGTAATTTTGCATAGTTTCGAAGTAAATATATGATTTTCCTCCTTGTCATTCTGCTCTTTCTCTTCTGTACAGAAAATTGAGCTTTTCTTATGTTTCTCCTCACAGCATGTTTTCAAGGTCAGAACAAGAACTATGTGCTGACACAAGATCTCTGTTCCTTGTACTCAGGAGAATATGCCACTGAGATCCTTCAAGGCTGAGAGGTGAAGGGACTATTCACTGAGGACCATGACTGCAGAGATAGATAATGTGCCCACATTTAAAGATTGTGATGAGCAGGAAGAAGGACCTGTTAACTCACAACTGAAGCACACACTTCCCTCTGCAGCAGAGCACAGATCTGCCAGGACCCCTGAAGAGCTGTGACTCTGCCACTTACTGGAGAGCCAGCACAGTACACTGTGCTCTAACCAGGCCAAACCTGACACCTTGAACATTAGAGGCTTTTCCAGGTACTGTGTAAATGGCCCTAATTGTGTTCAATGTTGGGTGTGTCCAGGCTTCAGTAAGAGCAGGGATTAAATTTTTGACCAGCTCTGGGGTTAGAATTGGACTCAAGAAAATGTTCCACCTTTTCATAGCTGAGTTTGTACAGCAAGGCATGCAAGTCAAATAAAGACAAGCCTGCTTATGCTGCCTTCCATTCTCCTCATCTTCCTCCTGCTTTCAAGCAAGGAGCATTTCTGAGCTCTGAGTCACTCATTCTACCTTTCTTATGCCTGCTCCCATAATGCACTTGAGAATTGCAGCATGTAATGTGTATTTTTGGTGCATAAACTCTAAAGAGGTATTATCTTCAGAACTACCCTACTTTCATTGTTATGGATTTCAAACCCAGATCTAAGCCAGGAAACTCACCCAGCAAAGTGACATGAAAATCAGAGAAACCACAAAAATTCAACAACAGGCTGCCTTTCTGCATCATTTGCTTAACACACACTATTTGTCTAACTTACAACAATGATTTTTCAAAGATGTTGTAAATTACAAATCCATTTACTCTAAGTAAATCTAGTACTTTGATGGGGCCACTTGCTAAAATAGTATTTTTGAGGGTTTTGTTTTCTGGGATTTCTTTCAAAGGAAGGAACTAGATCTAGGGGCAGGAATTTTTCTTTTAGTCCCCAGTCAGAAGCTGCCTTCTCCCTCTAAAGTGGCCAAAGAGAATGAGGAGATTATGATGTAGCATGATTTGTGTACAACATGTAAAAGGGCTGAGATTAGCATTGGTGTCACGTGCCTGTAATCCCAGCACTTGGAAGGCTGAAAACAGGAGGATCACTATGAGTCTGATCTTTTTGATGAGACCCTGTAGACTGTGTATTAGACACATTAAAAAAAGAGAAAGGGTAAGCCTTTGGGAATTCCATGAGCTCAGCAGGAGATTTTTGCTCCAAGTCACAAAAGAGTGTAATATTGTGTATATTTGGGACAGAGAAGCACTAATTTAGAGCCAAGTTGTGATTGGCAGTATTGAATATTAGTGATGTGACCCCTCAGCCCATGCTGAGGGGTCACATCACTAATAAGTGTTCAGCAACCTTAGCTGACTTCCAAGGAGACATTTATTTAAGCAAAAACTACACACTATCCTCTAAGCTAAAGACTTCCCAATCAAGAGAAACCTAAGTGCTATTAAAACTCATGGATGTAGGGCAGGCTGAATAGTTCAGTGGACTAAAGCACCTGCTTCGGTAGACAAAGGGGTCGAGATTTCGATCCCCAGGCCTGCCGTGCTGGCCTCACCCCCAGGGCATACTGAGACAGCAATTGAAACTGGGCATAGTGGCCTGTAATCCCAGAACTTGGGAGGCTGTAAACAGGATGATCACTATGAGTCCGATCTATGCAGTGAGACACTGTACACCCTACACACCCTTTCCCAAATACAAAAAGAAAAAAATCATGGCTGTAGCAGTAACAATGATGACCTAAACACTCCAGGTGTTTCTCGATTTTTCCACCATGGCAGGCTCACCGACTCAAGCTTGATTCTGCAGAGGCTGGCACTGTCATATTGACAGGCATTACAGTTCTCCATGGGTAGTTTAGACATGTGTGTTTCCTGCAATTTGATTTTGTATAGAGACATTAAAGTCTAATACTCTTAATACAAATGAAACTAAGCCTATCCACTATCATCTTACCTGCCTGCTGCCCTCTCTACACATGAAAAGTACCTCTGTTTTGTTTTTTTTTTTGTTTTTTTTTTCCTTTTTTCAGTACCAGGGATCAAACTCAGGACCTTGTGCTTGCCAGGCAAACACACATTCCACTGAGGTATCTTTCTGGCCCAAAAGTACCTCTTTTGACTCACTTAACAACTTCATACCTGGAAACTGAATGACTTAAGTCATGTCCAAATCTCATACACTTCAGGAATATCATGTAATAATATTGATAGAAATTATACCCAGGTATAAAAATAAGATATTGCATTTCTATAGATCTCCCACATGGGCCTTATGAACAAATATGGAAGATAGAGAGGGGGTTAATTTGGAAATTATTTAACACTGTCAGTTTCCTCTACAGCAAGCTATTATTATGCTCACCATAGATCCCTAAGGCTTTGGTCTTAGTAAGCACTTACAGAGAGCCCACTCTGGCCTCATCTTAGTCTGACAGAGTTTTTATTCTTAATCCCAGGGACAAGTTATTGGAATTCTAATAAATCCATGTCATTCTACCACTTCCAGTGCAGCCCACAATATAAAGAAAGAAGCAAACACATATCTTTGCTTGTGGGAGCCAAGGGGTGTCCTAAGTACAGTCTGAACCATGGCTAACTGGTACAAAAGCCTAAACCCAGGGCTGAATGAGGGTTTTATTAATTTGTGAAGAAGAGTGTGACTTGGGGCTAAGTGACTGGGAGAATGGTGGGAAGTCTGTGAGTACTGTGAGCTGGGCCAGGTAGGAAGAATGGCGCTTCTGCAATATGCAGAGAGAAGCTTGCAGAAAGAGTACCATATCTGAGTAAGAGGTAGCCTCTAAGTTTGGAGGAGTCTCCATAACACAATCTGAGGCCATGTCTTGGGTTTTGGTCAGCTGCCTCAGCTTTGATGTCTGGCCTTCTTGCATTGGAGCAGAAACTCTGTTGACCCTCAGTTGCAGCCTAGAGCACACTGTCTCACAGCCTAGGTCACACTTAGTAGTAGGAGCTACAGGTGGGCATCATTGCTGTCCACCACTTCAAAGGCTACACATCAGCGCCTCCCCTAGATCCATTTGCATTGCTTAAAGCCCATGAGGTATTAAACTATTACTCCACCCAGTTTTGTACATATCAATATATGGAATTAGGGCAAAGTTTAGCCACCATGGAGACAAATAATTGTCTTTCAAGAAGGGCTATGGGGGAGATACTTCAGCAGCATAGCACGAGGTTCTGAGTTTGATCCCTGGTTTAAAAAAAGTCTTTCTGGTGGGTCTCAACAGCATTTGGGGAGAATTTGTTTGTTGATATATGAAAACCTGTCCATTTTCTTGTGCTTCTGCAGAAAAAAGGCCTCTGTAAGATAAAATACTGATAGAGCCCACATGTGGCCAGAAGTTTTAGCTTCGAGACCAGCAGGGATAGGGTAAAAGGGGCTAAGATGCAAGGACAGCTGAGCATACAGGAGGACACAGGTTTGAGGGTCCCTGCCCAAGTGAGAGGCGGGACCACAGGTTCTGATCCCACCAGACTTTCTCTCTAGGTCTTTGAATGGAACTACATGTGGTTCTGCATGTCCCAGGGGGGTGATTTAAGAAAAGAAAAACATCGCATCCTTGTGACCTAGTGAGGACAGGAGTTGGTGGTCTGTGGCAACTGTGAGAGGAGACAAAATAGAATGGTCAGCCAGGTACCTATACACCTAGTCTTGGTCTTAGAGGAGAAAGGGGAAGGAAACAAATTTCAGGTGAGAATGAAGAGTCACTGACTATACGCTTGACCACTTTATCTCCAAACCTGTTGGAGAGAAATGTTTCATTCAATAAGACCCTTCTCCTAGCTAACAAAATAGAGCTGAGTGGTGACATCAGTGGTGCCTGACTGATATTTAGGATGCATGTCCCCCATCTGCCATGTAACACATAAAGAGGTTGCATGTTCACCCTGAGACCCAGGATAAGAGCTAGGAATTTTTTTTTCCTAATAGTGCAGAGCTTCAGGGTTTACAAAAGGAAACAGAACATAGAAACTAAAGCAAGTAAGATAGAGTTAATTAACATCTTTGAGTGAGGATTTGGGAAGATACTGAGAGGAACAAGAGTGATAGGTGCTCAGTCTTGCCTTAAAGGAGGCTTTTTGAATCCTTGTGTCCCCAGCACAGATCTGAGTACTCTGTCATATCTTGAGGAGGCAAAAATCAGCAGATTTATGTTACTGCCCTGCTTCGCATAGAACTGGTCTCTGAGCATGGATATCAGTGAAGAAAGAAGCAACCAGCCCTCTTAGTGAGAAAGACATTTATTTAGTTGCTGGTGGCTGCTCTAGAGAAATTCTAGACTCAGGCCAGGAAAGATGGTTGCTCACAAAAGTGCTCAGTTTGCTTTCTTCAGTCAGTGGTGTTTCATGGTTTTCTTTATCCATCTTAGAAAATGTGAGACTTTAGTGTAGATGCATGGAGTTGTGCCATCCTTTTTTCCATAGGAGACAATGCCTTGGGCCACATTATTACACACGAAGGGGCCTCCAGAGTCACCCTGTAAATAAAAAGTGAGGCCATGAAGCCTCCTGGACTTGACCCCTATCATATCCCAAATACTTCTTGAAGTACTATTCTCAGTGTGCTGGTGAGAGATGAGGGGAAGGGACAGGCCCTGAGTCTTTAGCTGCCAAGCAAAGAACAGTGTTACTGTTTATCTCTCTGTCACACTTTGTCCTTGCCCCAGGTCCTGGGATCTCATCCCTGTAGAGTCCTGTGGGACCATTGGTTTCTACCTACTATTAAAGTCATAGACAGATATGAATGGGCCAGACACCAAGCAACAGAAATGAACCTTCCTGACCAACAGGGTTAGGAGGCTCTGGGGACCTAATTGGCTATAATTGCTACACACACAGGGAATGGTTTTCTAATGCCTGGTATTTAAATACAGGCAGCTTGTTGTAAACTCCTGCTTCCAGAGAGGCACTCTTCTCCAGAGGCCTCTTGGTGAAGTGGTGGAAGCTTCAGTTACTTCCCAACTCAGGCCGCTCCCTTTATCTCTTTTCACCTAGAATTATCACAGCCTATATTTGAGGAAGCCCTGTTGCTCAGGCCTCCTGGTCCTACATATGTCCAAAATACACTTTTGTGCAAAGCCAAGAGTAATAGGTGTTCAGTCTTACCTTAAAGGAGGCTTTTCTAATCTTTGGGTCCCCAGCACAGATCTGAGTAGCTCTGTCATATCTGGAATAGCGGGTCTCACACTTCTCATCCTTTTGCACCGTCATCTCCACCTCCTGCAGTGTGGTTGCTCTTTTACGCCCTGGGGCCAACCGTCCCCATCCAGCCACATGGCACATAGCACCTGGCTTTACCTGGGACTTGCCTTTTGGCAACCTGAGAAATTGCACCTCTTTAGTCAGGTTGGCCTTTTCCTCCAGCTGATGGGAAAGAAGTAAAAAAGTACAGATTAGCCTTTGTGTGCTTCAGGGCCTGGACACAGCGAAAGACATGATGGCAGAGGGAATGCTCAGGGCCCCAGTGGGAGGTGCAACCTTGTGTGAGGAAAGCAAGAGCAGCAGGAAGATGTGTCACACCTGCAGCAGCATGATGTCATTGGTGTACAGTTCAGTACTATAATTTTCATGAGGGAGGGCTTTTTTTACACGGATGATCTGCTGGGTCTTCTCCTGTTTCTTGATGTCATGGGCACCCAGGGTGACATTTATTGAGCTGGACAAACAGGAAAGTGAGTTAAGGGATATGAAGGAACAGAGGACACATGACAAAAGCTATAAGGAGCAGGCAACAGCTGATGTAGTGTGGAGCTGTCTCTGAGAGCAGAGCCCTCTGCATAATTGTGCCCTCTGCTTTTTAATAACTGAGGCTGAATTCTCACGCCTTGGGCACTAGAAGTCCTCAGCAGTTAGATACCTTCAGTAAAGCACAGGAAATTACTTTGCTTTGCATCATTAGGAGAAGCATGGTCTTATGTTTATATTTATCAGGGTTGATTGCCCTGGTCTTTTTGATGTCAAGAATTTGTCTGTTGCCAAATACCTTGTCTTCCTGGGAGACACGGCTGGCCCTTTCTCAACCTCACAGAGTCTCCTGCATGTGTTTCACCAGGAGCTCAGGGAGCTCAATGGGAGGAAGGCTCTCTGAGAAGGGTTTTCCCAAGACAGTGGGCAGTTTTCCACTCCTCACCTCCCTGAACAGTGAGCCGCTGTCAGTACAAACTTCTCATTTATCAGGAAGCCACCACATATAGCATCATCCCCGATCCAAAGGTAGGCCATGTAGGGGCGGGAGTGGGGTTTGGCTTCATGTCCCCCGATGATCTCCGCTGAAAGAAAAGGGCTAATTGTTGCAGCCGCTGAGTGACTGCATGAGCATCTACTTGGTGGTTCCAGAAATTTGGGCGTTTAGCCACCTGGGATGTTCTGGAGCTGGGAAGAACCTGAAGGAAGAGGTCTCAGTTTTTCCTGCCTAGGGATGGAAATCAGGTCTTGGTCTAGAAATCTTTGTTTTGCATGAAGTGGAGTATGCCTGTCTGAATACAAGAAAATCCCAGGAACTTTTCCAATTCTTCCACTGACCTTTCATTGCCATTGAGTATCCAAAACCCTCCAAGTCTTGTAATGTCTAGCATGGTGATGCTTCCTACTGGCCGGGCTTCAGGTGTAATCTAGATGTTATCTGATCCTCTTTCCTAGGTTCTCACATGTGGATGCCTCAGAACTGTTCATTGGTTGTGTGAGGTAGCAGCTCCAGGCAGTCTCTGGATGAAGGTTGGCAGGATAGTGTTGATTGTGGGAGACAGGGAAGTTAGATTCTGTCTCTGTGGTTCATATAGAAAGCAGGGGAGACAGTAAGGATTGGGGTTAAAAGTAGAGGTGGAAGAGGGAGCTAGGATTGAAGAAAGACAAAAGTAGTGTTCTGGAGATAGTAATTCCATACATTCTGGGCTTACTGAGCTCTGCGCATCTCTCCTAAGCAGCTGATGAGGACAACACCTTTCTCCTACCCAACATGGAAAACAGATCTATTCTGCCCTCTCCAAGAGTATGTCACATTTCTTCCTGTAATTTCTCATCATTTGCATTCACTTTGAATAAAGACCCACTTCACAAATGACAAAGGTAGGGTCTCATGAAGGGATGGTTTCCCCTGGCTCTAGTTGAGAACAATCTATGGTAACCTATCCAGAGTCATACTTGGTGTTATCTGGTGAGATTGGAGGTCATGCTCAGATAAATTCTGGTAGACAGAAGGATCATGGGTGTGGAGAGGACAGGACACCCATATCCTCTGTAGAATGGGGCTTGGGTTCTCAGGGATGAAGATAGAAACTTACCTGCCCTTGTCCTGAGGGTCAGAAAGATCAACATGAGCAGGAGCAGCTGCATCTTCCCAAGAAGGCTTCCCAGGTAAAAGCTTCTGAAGATCTGTCCTTGCTGTATTTTATCCCCCAGAAGAGGAAGGGGAAGGAGCTGGTTCAGTGACTTATGTTTCCCACTGGTTTTGTAATGCTTCATAATGGGAGGTTTTCTAAGACAATACCCATCTCCCAATGCCTCCCCAACCCCATGACTCTTCTATGTGGCTGTGTGAAAATCACACAGTGACCACAGCTGATGATTCAGAGTAAATCATCTGTTCCAGCCCACAGGACTAACCCAGGTGTGTAAGGTGGGGATTGGAGGATGTGGTATTGGCCAGTACAGCCTCAGAAATCTGGGTTCCCAGTGACAGAATTAACAGCACTATTAATCTAAGTCCATGATAATAGATTCTACGGATAATGCAGATGAACATTAGGCTCTTCTCTTGAGCCAGGAACAAGCCTAGTGGAGAAAGACCTAACCATCTGGGGAAGAAGACAGAATCCCTGAAACTCAATTTCATGAAGCCCACTGTGGAGCTATGTGCTAAGGAATAACAATGTATGTTTATCATGTGCTAATCTTACCTGTTGATTCTTCCATCTCCATAGCTTCCTTCCCAAGGGGTCTTCTCTCATTTAATTATAAATATTCAAAATGATGGAATGCACTTTTCTTCTCAATATTTTTTTTTCGGAACCGGGGATTGAACTCAGGCCCTTGCACTTGCCAGGGAAGCGCTTATTCCACTGAGCCATCTCCCCGGCCCCTCTTCTCAATATTTTTAAACAAAGTTTTCATGTGTGACATTTATCAGTCTAAATCAGCAAATTGCTGTGGGCCTTAGGAGTTTGAACAATGAATTGATGTAGGTTACTTCCATTACTTTGGAAAAGGTGCGGTCAATTCCACTGGAATCACTTGAATTAAGGATAGACATGTTTGGGGTGTATGTCAAGGCACTACTGGCTTGTCTTCAGGGCTCTTCCTCTGTGCTCTACTTCCTGGGCTAGAGGAAGTGAACTGCTTTGCTCCATTAATACTTCTTACCCTAGTGTTGTTTTTTGTTTTTTCTTTTCCTTGAAGCTAGCTGGCTAGGGACTTAATCCCCTGAAAACATGTTTCTTGAGAGACAACAGTATCTTTAAATAGTTATTTCTGCTGATTTCAGCTTCTTTATGTGTCTATGTTTGACTTTTTTTTTGCTATGGGGACTACTATGTCTGAGAAGATAAAATTCCAGTGTAAATACCTTCCTTGTCAGTAGAAAATTGTCAAAATTTATGAAATCTCTGCTTGTTTTTAATTTAATTCTCTCAATAGTATGAAATTTGAAAATTAAAATTGTCTGATTATAGATTGATATATATTTATCAAGAAAATTGAGGGAGTAGAAAGGAAAAAAGACTATCTGTCTGTATCTCATAGGCAAAACACATTTATTACTACATTTGTATTACACACTGATTGCATTGATTGTGGGGAGTTGGACCTAAGACACCTTATTTACTTTTCAACCTCTTCCTGTCTCCTTTCTTTCCCCTTTTCCTTTTTGTCTTCTTCCTATGTGAAAAAAAAATTATCTGTTTCCTATTATTTATGTTTTATTTAGCTCTTTTTCAGATTGTTTAAATTAATTTTATTGAGAAACAAATAGCAATGAGACAGTTTCAAAACTGATTAATAAGGCAGTTTCAATAATTAATACATTGCATATTGTTGTCTTTGTAGTGGTTATTCATAATATAAGATGCAGACATGATATCCTGTACAAACACTATTAGCACAAATCTTTCTTCTCATGGAACTGGGAGAAAGTAACTGTATATCTATCCTAACTATTTTGTATATGCAGATAAAAAATATTCCTTCATTTATATCCCCTTATTTTGTTTAGTTTTGTCAGAGATGGGTATTCCATTGCCATTGAAATATTGTAGGTGTGTGAATTCAGCAAAATAATCCAATATAGTCTAGTAGTCCATAATAGTAGAGGGTTATCCATAGGGCTGCCAGTGTCAGAAGTAGTTGACTTGAGCCTTTCACAACTCAGCCTATTAATATGGCTTTACTTTTTATACCTCGTTTTTATACTTTCTACTGGATGATTAAGACCAAGATAAAGCAAGACCTATAAAACAAGAACCATAATTTTTGTATCTGAAAAGATCAGCAAAATCCCCTCAGGATTTAGCCTGAAAACCTGTACCGCAGTTTGTAGATCCTTTGTCAGTGTCAGCCATGTGGATGAGTCACGGCCTCCTTGCTATGTCTAAGATGCTTGATATTCATACAGATAGTGAGGTTAAGCTCAACTGTCTATGTTGTAGCGTAATACAATCATTAAGCTTCTCTTCTGGAGGGTTAACAAGTTTTCAGATCAAAACTTAGAGAAAAGAAGGGCTGCAAGGATAGCCAACATTTTGGCCGTAGCCTTTCAAGATCAGTGAGGACTCAGCACATAAGAGAACATGCACTATAACATCCTGTAACTCAGTGATGTCCCAAATTTTCTGATCAAGAAGATTATGAGCCCACAGAGGAAAGTGATCAATGATGTAGAGTGTGCCTAAGGAGAGTCACATGGAGAGAAAACATTCTCTCAGGTTATTTACCTCTTCTTAAAAATTTATTTAGGCCACAGGTTTCTTATATAAGAGAAACCATGTAATATTTAAGCTTGTGTGAGTCATTTATTTTACTTTACTTTAAGGTTTCAAGGTGAAGTTTTGTACAAATGACCCAGTTTAACCCTTCTGTATGGTAGAGCAGAACTACATTGTGTACAAATACCACATTTCCCTCATCCACCTATTGACAGACATCTATGTTGCTTCCAAGATGCAGCTATTATAAGTTGTGCTGGGGCTGGTGAGATGGCTCAGTGGTCTAAAGCACCTACTTAGAACAAGCTAAGCTAAGCAAAAGCACAGGGACCGCGGTTCAATCCCCAGCACCACATGCCGGCCAGCCCCGCCCTCTGGTGGGCTGAACTGGCCACACACA